CCGGTTTGGAAGCTAACAAAGGATATTGGGCCTTAATATGGCCCACCTGCTCACAATGATAACAAAGTCTGACCCCGGAATTCAGAGCCTGCTGCCTGTAATCCCTGGCTAGATGGCCCTGCTTTCCACAATGGCTGCACCCTTTCCCTGCTCGACATGTCCTTGAATGAGCCTTCCCACACTTCCCATAAGTGCGGCCTAGCTATCCCCTAATCCTGGTATCAGCGGTCTTAGACCGCTTCGGCGCCGGCTGCGCATGTATAGGGACCCGCTGCTGCTCCCTCAGCTACAACTCAATCTCCAACTCACATTACCTAACGGTCTCCTGTAGGTCCAGGAGTGAATCACATCTCTGAGTGGCAACAAACTGACGAATTTCAGTCTTGAGCATGCCCAGATAACGTGTCATCTGAGCCTGCTCTGAGGCAAACTCCGAGTAAAACATCGCCCTCTCCGTAAATATGTGGGTGATCTCCATCACTGACTCAGTACCCTGCTTCAGATCTAAGAACTCCTGTGACAACCGCTCGCGCTCGAACCACAGAATGTAGCAAGTGCGGAACATATCCTGAAACTGCTCCCAAGTAACCGCAACTATCTAATCATCCATGTATGACCCAGTCACCAACCTCCACCAATCCTTTGCCCCGGCCCGTAACAGGTTCAGGGCACACCTGACCTTCTGGTCAGTAGGACGCGAGCATGTGAAGAAACATCCCTCCACATCAGACAACCACCTCATAACTAAAATAGGATCCTAAATACCATCAAATGTCAGGGGCTTCGTGTTATTGAAGTCCTGGTACTAGAAGCCCCGACCGGCTCCTCCCCCTCCTACCGCTGTTACAGCCGTGGTAGTTGCAGTGGCAGTCGTCTCAGCAAGGGGTGCATATTTTTCATCAAAGTACTCCCTCATAGCAGACTTTATAGTCCCAAATAACTCTGAAATCTAACCCCAGACAATCTCAACCACCTCCCTGCGGATGATCTCTCTAACTCGATCCTCCATCATCACTGGCTCCTCCTGGTTGATAATCTCAGGCGCCGCTGGGGCCTCCTGGTGACCCTGTCCTGATCCCGATTCGGATCCAATCACGAAACGCCTTGTAACCACCATACTGAAATATAAACAGGAAGATATCAGACAATCCACAAAAGTACCCAATGAACCAACTCCCTACAAAACCCTAGGGGTTGCGACTTCCTTGATACGCGTATGGGTCCTGTGCTTTCAGTAGTACGGTCCCAATACTACCTTCCACACCTACCTATATTTACCTCAAGTATCATCACAATGCCCTAACACTATACATACACATGGTGACCGCTCAACCCCACTCCCGGAGGAAGGATAACTATCTCACAACTAACCTACCGACCTCACAAAACCCACCCATTAAACTTCCACCAACCCTGCAGCACTAGTGTATTCTAGCCATACATAACATTGAAACCTATAGACATTCAAATGTCCAACCCTACCCTAAGCTCCCAATCAAACAAGAACAGAACATAAGGCCAAATCAAACATTCTCAGGCTATAAGATCTTAATTATGTATAACTGTGATGCATACACTAAGCAACTACAATAAGGATGTCAATCTCATATAAAGGGAACCCTAGGCTAGCAGGCATCATGTAATCAGACAATTCTATCATGCAATTCCTGAAGATCCCTAGCCTAACACTAGCATGTTGTTCTTACATATTACACAATCAATATGTGTATGGTATTTTGGGGTCTACTTGCTGGCTCCGGCTGATCGTACACTCTGCTCCTCCTTTACCTATTTTGAAAACAATTTAAAAAAAAAAACCATTTTGAAAATCTTTCCTTGATTTGAGACTGGATTCACATGAATGTTCGTCTAATTCACTCAAACCAAGGCTCTAATACCAACTTGTAACACCCATAAAATTTAAACAAATTTTTAACTTTCAAAACATTCAAAATCCAAGAGTTATTACAAATCTTTGTTTTCATAATAGTCTTTATCAGAGTTCCCCAGAAATCTAAACAAAATGTGAGGAGCTGTACGATCACGCCTTTGCCTTGCCGCGATCCCCTGATGTACCAGAAACAATAAATTGAAATTGTAAGCCTGAAAGCTTAGTGAGTTCCCCTAAAATACCCATACTTACACAATACAAATATAACCATAAACAACATACTATGGGTCCAATCAACCATCGGATTGGAATACCCCAGGCCCTCAACCTTCCGGTTGGAATGTCAATATACTATGGGTCCAATCATCCTCGGGATGGAATACCCTAGGCCCTCAACCTTTCAATTGGAATGCCAATATATTATGAATCCAGTCATCCTCGGGATGGAATACTCCAGGCCTACAACCATCAGGTTGGAATGCCCAGGTCTATTGGCTTTCACACAAAGCAGATACGCCTCAACCAATAAACAAACATGTGCACATATAACAGATAATCACATAACAGTCTATAGACAACAAACTGATCTACCGGATCATACCACATAACATATAATATTATCCTACCCTCTAGGATATCTAGCTAACAGGTCATACTAGCATAACATAACCAATAACAATTCGAAAGGCCGACCTAGGTGCCTTAGACCCTTGAGTATAGTGATGAAAACTCACCTGACTAACAGTGCCGAAATGTTGAACTTCTAACCGCTGCTTCACGGGAAATCCCGAACTGACACACATAATAAATACTAGGTTATTACCCGACATTACTCCCTTGACTAAGTATCCATGTAATTCATAAAGTCCATTCCTTTTTGTTGGGCCAAGGCCCAACACCAAGTCCTTATCTTAAAGGTCCATACACTAAAGTCCTTTATTGGCCCAACTTACCAAATTGGGCCCAACCTCCTTATTGGGCCTATCTCCATGATCCACTAACATAACTCGGCCCAAAATATGCTACTTGCAGAGTCCAACAAGGCCCAAATCTATTTAGCCCACAAATCCTAAGCCCATATGACAAGAGCCCAATTAGAGAGCGTACGCGGGGCGTACCTCTCTGGTTATGTTGGGCGTAATGCCGTTCTATGCTGATTGCCCTCGGGATAGCTGACCCCGTATGTTGGGCGTACAGAACTTACGCCAGGCGTATGCAGGATTTTACCAAAATCCTAATAAGTGCTTAATGGCTTAAGCACTTAAGCCCATATCCGAGATCCATCGACCAAATATGCCTTGGGACCATAAAGTTCAAGACTTTATAACTTTGGACGTCCAAAAAGTCCTTAACTCATGGTCTTAACCCATTAACACCTTCTTACTTCATGCATGGGACAAGTCTAGCCTTTGGGAACTGATTTTTATCACTTAGGACCTCTCCTAAGGTCTGAAAGGACAACTTATTTCGCCTAAACATCACATGCATCTTCTTGGGACTCTTGGGACCATAAGACCTCCATAAAGTTAAATGTCTAGATCTATAAACAAGCAAGCACAAAGTTTCAATCTTTTTACCTTTTGGAGCTTTAATGGCACAACACAACTTCAGATCTATATAGCCTTGGTCTCCTCTTCTAGCTCCTTAAAGTAATGTCTTCACTTCCAAGGTCCAAAATGCACACTAGCTCACACTTCTTCACACACTCTAGGGTTTGGGATATTTTCTGAGGTATGGAGGTTGAGGATGAGCAAAGGAATGAGCCATAAAGGTGATTATATAGTCCTCAACCCCGAATATTAGGGTTTTCATCGGACATAAGTACACCCAGCGTACATGAGTGTACACCGAGCATACTAGGGCATGCCTAGTATGCTTAGCGTACCCTTATGTACGCTCAACGTACTACTTCCAGTCCCAAAGATGCAACTTTAGTCATTATACTTCTCGTGACCCATCACAACCAACTCTAGGGACCAACAATGATAACTACTAAAAAGAAGAAGGGCTTTCAAGATATATCTACAAGATTCGAGACGTTACAATATATTTAGATGGAAAAAGTCGGGTCGTTACCATTGGTATCAAATCTATAGTTTGAGCGAATTAGGTTTGGTATGCCAACTAGACTTAAGCTATCGAAGATGAAAAGAATCGGAGTGTTTAGGACCACTATTAGTGATGATCACTTAGGTCATGTATGTTTATTGTCAGTGTTATGGTATATTGATAAGAGATAGAGTATGAATTAGTTTCATAATAAACTACGTTATGAGATTTAGCTACACGGTTACAATTATGTGTCGATAAAGATCCTAAGAGTTTGAGTTAGTAGATGGACTAACCAAGAGGGTTTGGTTCAAGTATGTTAAGAATAAAGAATGAATGGTTATTTTTATGAAATGACATAAGAAGTTGCTCTCTAAGTGAAGAGATGTTATGTATGTAAAGAGAATGATGCATGGTTACCATGATAAAGAGATGTGTTGAAGATGCCTCGTGAGCTGATGTAGATATGTGCATGTTATGTAACAGTTCATTTGTGAGGAACTGTTAGAAAAAGAAGTAGATTGAACCTTATGTGTAATAAGGGGGAGTTAAAGAAGGATTGTGAAGTTGTATAGAATAGTAAGAAGTTAGTAGACTCATGATAAGAGTCTAAGGTCGTGTATGGAATACCAGTAATAATTAGGCGACCTAGTGTCATATATAATAAAAAGTTGGAAATACTGGAAGTGTATGAGTCCCCGATGTGAAAGAAGGATTTGTGTTTTTGTTTCTCATTTAGATTTTTAGATTCAATTTTCTAGATGTTAAGAGACGAGGAAGGTAGGAAGGTTGGTTTAAAACTCAAAGAGAATAGCTCCACTTTAGTAGACAATAATGTTAAGATGTCAGGCGTAGAGGTCAATATGGTACTTTTTTTAAATTCAGTGCATTCATGTCTTTTTAGCACTGAAAAGAGAGAGAGAGAGAGAGAGAGAGAGAGTAATGTGCCTAACGACATAATTTAAACAAATCCATTATTTCCTTTACAAACTTTGGAAATGCAAAATTTGTAGATAGTTAGATTAGGGATGAAAAGTTGAGCATCGGTTTGGATCCGGACCGAGAACTCGAAAGTAGACCAAATACCCTAATTCTGGTTTAGTTTGGTTCTACAAGTAACTATGATTTTTAGGATGTGTTCGGCTGGCTTAGGCCTGTAACCAATTTAATGGGAAATGGAGAAAAAAAACCTGATCGAATACCTTGTTCGGTTCTATTCTAGTTTTTTCATGGCCCGGTCCGATTCTACCTGATGAAATGCTTATTAGATACATCCAAAAAATAACCTTTTACAATTTCATTCTTTTTCTGATTCAAATTCGATTCAATTACTATCCAGATTCGGGATCGTAGAAAATGGCCTATGCATCCCAAATTCGCTATTGGCATTTCATACTATAACTTGTGAGAAATTTTGCTGAAACTAGTTTTCTAATCTCTCCTCTGTGCACTCTCTACACGTTCGCTTTTTCTCGCCTTCTATGGCCGTGGAAGGAGGAGGAACGCTATCGGAGCTGTATCAGAGCTCAAGGCGATTGCTGTTGAAAACTAGAGATGGCTTGGAACGCCTTGAACGTCTCGAATTCTCGTCTTCAGCAGGTTCCGTCGATTCTCCGGAGCTTGCAGTTGCCGTCCGGAGAGATATCTCTCAAATTCAAACCCTTTGTTCCGATATGGATGGACTCTGGCGATCCGTTGGTTCCAAGCCTCAGCGTGATCTCTGGAAAAGGTTCGTATTCTAGCCCTAGGGTTTATCGCAACATATATCTCAATTAGTTTTCAAATTTATCCTCCGCAGCTGTACGAATCCGTGATCCGAATGTTCATCTACCTTACATTCTCTTAAATTGAATGTAGAATTAGCTTAGAATTCAGAACCATCATGAACATTTTAAAGGTTGGGAATCACAACTGATTGTACAAAATCGTGATTCCTCGCTAATCAAGCAAGGTTATATATATCCCCAAAATCAAATTTGACACCGGAATGAAGAGATTTCAGACACCGATATTGAAGAATTCGCATGATTATGGATTTGATCACAGACAGAAAGTTTAAACGACTTCTAATGTTGCAGAAAAGTGGAGCAAATAGCTGAAGAGGCTGATTCTTTCAAGGAAAGTTTAGATAGGTATTTTCAACGTCAACAGAAAAGGATTCAAGAAGCTCAAGAGAGAGCAGAATTGCTTGGAAGAGCTGTATGTTAATTACCTTTCTTCTTTTAAGATCTTCAATGAATTCTTGATTACAACTCGCTTTTACCTTATGTTTAGAACGGTGAATCATCTCATGTTTTGAGAATTTTTGATGAGGAAGCACAAGCAATGCAGTCTGCACGTAACTCATCTCGCATGTTGGAAGAAGCAACTGCAACTGGAACAGCCATTCTTGCTAAATACTCTGAACAAAGGGATCGACTAAAGGTACTTGTACTGTGTTTCCATTAATAGGGTCTGTTTGTTATAATGGATTGGAATCACCAATAAAGTAATGGAATGGAATGAGTAATTACATTGTATGCACTATGCAGAGAGCTCAACGGAAAGCATTGGATGTGCTGAATACATTGGGGCTATCGAATACAGTATTGAGGGTAATTGAGAGGCGGAATCGAGTTGATCAAAGGATCAAGTATGCAGGAATGATACTTACTTTTATTATAGTAATTGCATTCTTGAGGTGGACTAGGTGATTTTGTTGTTCTATTTTCCATAAAAATGTCCCACTAGTTTGTAACACTTTTGTCGAGTATTTCAATAGAAGGGTTGATATATATATTTTTTTTTCCTTTTAATGCGCTTAATGGGTTTACCACTTAATCTACACATAAATGTTTCTTTTTTACTTTACTTTAGACCGACTTAATTGGTTAAGCTAAAAAATTTGGCTAAATGTATTAGGAATTAGCACGGTTCCAAAACCGCCCCGAACCGCACTAGGAACCGACCGAATGAGAAAAGAAGACTGTGAATCGGACCGTCGTAGACTAAACCGGTTCGGTGTCGGTGTTCTGTCCCAAAACCGATTTTCCGGCCATTAAGTCATTTTCCAGCCCCGTTAATTGATCAAAAGGTTGTCTTCTGGCTTCCCAATCCGGGTTTATTCAGAGGAACCGATGGATATTGGATCTACTAGAACCGAGGCTGTCCCATGTAGTGAATGTAGTTTGGTTTGGCCTTGGTCTGACGTTCATTTGTTCATGGCTAAAATGTATTATGACACTAACCACTTACCGATTGTCAATGTGGAGCTAACCTACTTGGTAGAGACTTTGCTTTAGATTGGAGGTCTGGTTCTAAACTAAACTGGGCATTGGTGCTTTGATTGATTTCTACTAATTTGATGATACTAACTTTTAACCACTAATCAACTGTAAAAAAGAATCACTTACCTATTGATCATTTCATGTTAAATATGATGAATAATGTGAAATTTGTTCTATAGGAATTTAAGAGTAAAATGATCATTTTATTTTTATTTAGAATATTTATTCGATCAAGAATAAAAGAAACGCTTAATGTTATTGTTCACTCATGAACTGTTGACTTTGATTTTAAAAAGTCACTCATGTTTTTTAGCATTTGTGGGTCAATAAACTTAATATTTACATGTTAAATATGAGATTATCCCCATTTGTTCCCGATTAGTGTCGATTAAGTGATCTAGTGGCAAGTTGATGTGACACAGCAAAGGCCGTGTATACTACACCGTGTAAATTGGTCCCTTAGAGCATATGGTTTGGGTAACTTGAAGTAGTGTTATAAGAAGAAGCAACAAGAAAAGGGGGTGGTGTTCATGGTGTTATAACACATGTTATAAGAGAGAGAGAGAGAGAGAGAGAGAGAGAGAGAGAAAACCAATAGAAGATCACATTTCATCTAGTCATGGCCACAACAAGAAGCAACACAACTAGATACAACACAAAGAGAGGGGGGGGGGTGTTCATCTTGTTATGACTAGGTTATGAGGTATCACATCAGCAATAATAGCATTTCTCGGTGCCCATACCATATGCTCTTATTAAGCTTTCAACACAAAGGTTTGTATGATCAACATCTTAAACATTATTCCCATATTTCTTCCAAACATTTTTCAAGAAACCCTAAAGTGGAAATGGTAGCTTCATTCTTTCAATCTACATCTTTGCCTTATTTCACCTGAAATGGTCACTATTTGGAGGCATCCAACAACCCCTAATTCTCGATGTGATTATCCTTACCCTACAAAGAAAAGAATGTCGTGGATAGATACTAATCCAGCTCGAAGATTTTTCAAGTGTCCCTTTTCGTTGACCGGTCATTGCACCTAAGCTTTATGCTAACTAATTCTTCAACCATAAAACCAAGATTATTTTCTTTTTGTTATAGACAAGAAAGAAATGCAACTTCTCTAAATAAATTAACCCTAAGCTTGAAGATTACACTACAAGACGATACTTCTTGAAATGTAAAACAAACTAAATATACATTGTTGTTCTCAAGCAATAAAGCTAAAAATAAAGGAGTTGCAAATAAGTATGATGGAGAAGCGAGAATTGTTTGTTAACCATGTCTTCATGATGAAGAATCAAGAGGATACTGCGCATGAAGCTGAAACTAGGGATCCTTTTTTAGTATGTATGTGGACGTGGGTTAATGATGATAGTAAATAGTCTGAATTATGATAGTTTGAAGGGGGTCTGTTTGTACAGTTTTGGAGGGTTTTTATTTGTATAGTTTCGGATGGGTTTGGGTTCTTTGGATGGACGATACGATATGGGTAGTTGAAGACTATATAGCGGTTCTTTTGAAATGATCACTATTAAGCTTTCGACACAAAGGTTTGTAAGATCAACGTCTTCAACATTGTTCCCATATTTCTTCCAAACATTTTTCAAGAAACCCTAAAGTGGAAATGGTAGCTTTGTTCTTTCGCTCTACATCTTCGCCTTATTTCACCTTAAATGGTTAGTATTTGGAGCCACCCAACAACCCCTAATTCCTGATGTGATTATCCTACCCTACAAAGAAAAGAATGGCGTGGATGGATACTAATCCAGCTCGAAGATTTTTCAAGTGTCCCTTTTCGTTGACCAGTCATTGTACCTAAGCTTTATGTTAACTAATTCTTCAACTATATAACCAAGATTATTTTCTGTTTGTTATAGACAAGAAAGAAATGCAACTTCTCTAAATAGATTGACCCTAAGCTTGAAGATTACACTACAAAATGATGCTTCTTGGAATGTAAAACAAACTAAATATACATTGTTGTTCTCAAACAATAAAGCTAAAAATAAAGGAGTTGCAAATAAGTATGATGGAGGAGCGAGAATTGTTTGTTAACCATGTCTTCATGATGAAGAATCAAGAGGACACTACGTATGAAGCTGAAATTGGGGATCCTTTTTGAGTATGTATGTGGACGTGGGTTCATGATGATAGTAAATAGTCTGAATTATGATAGTTTTAAGGGGGTCTGTTCGTACAGTTTTGGAGGGTTTGTATTTGTATTGTTTTGGATGGGTTTGGGTTCTTTGGATGGGCGATACAATATGGGTAGTCGAAGATTATATAGTTGTTATTTTGAACAAGCTGTTGCATATGATAGATGAACATGGATGGGTAAGGTAATAAAAAAAATTGGGCTTTTTTATTTAATGTCACATGGGTTCGATTATTAACAACAAGATTCCATATTTTCCCCATTGTTAAAGCATTAGTTGGTTGTTGATGTGTCTCTGAGTCCGTCCTCCATTTTAGCAGCGTTATGTAACTTCTTCTAATGATGGATTACATAAAAAGAATCACAAACTCGTGAGTTGGTTGCCCGGTAAGGGATCCCAGAACAACGCTCCGATGATTAAGTTAGTTTGAGACCTTGATAAGGTTATTAGAATATATCTTAAATCGAAGTGAGATAATGTGACAACCGTCAAATTCTGGTCAATTCAAAGTCAAATAAAGTCAACAAGTCAAACTGGTCAGCTCAACTAACCCTTGTGTACTAGGACTTACGTTCAGTATTTACTAAACAACTCGCTATTCTGATAAGAAATCATAAATCGAAAAGTACGTACAACTAGATCTCTTTAACCTAAAAACTGTGGTACGTGGCGGCCCAAACCGATAAAACAATGTTGCATACTCATCGGGAGTGTGTAAGATCCTTAAACAAGGCTTAACAGGGTTCACGAACCATGCATTGCGATGCCGGACACTCACAACTATCCCACATGGAACCTCTCTCAATCGTTTTCACTCTATCTCTCTCTATGTCAAACCTCTCCCAAATCTCTCCAAGTATGCGAAATCTCTCTCAAATATCTCTCTGTATTAGAAATCTCTCCAAGAATGTCAAATCTCTCCCAAATCCCTCTAAGTATGTGAAATCTCTCTCAAATATCTCTTTGTATGAGAAATCTCTCCAAGAATGTCAAATCTCTTCCAAATCTCTCCAAGTATGTGAAATCTCTCTCAAATATCTCTCTGTATGAGAAATCTCTCCAAGAATGTCAAATCTCTCCCAAATCTCTCCAAGTATGTGAAAACTCTCGCAAATATCTCTTTGTATGAGAAATCTCTCCAAGAATGTCAAATCTCTCCCAAATCTCTCCAAGTGTGAGAAATCTCTCCCAAATCTCTCTCAAAAGTTTCTCGTAACTTTTTGGAATCATTCGGGTCATTCCGACCCTTAACCGGGTCAAAAACGGCTCAAAACGGGGCGAAAACGAGAAAAATAGGCTTTAGGAACCGAAACCAAGAAGAGAGACCTCTTAGGCGAGGACCGAGCCTCTGTTGGCTGAGGCATGCGAGACCGAGCCTCGGTCTCTGCTTCTTTCTCTCCTCTCTGTTGTCTTCTCTACTTTCGGTCTCTGTCGACTTCTCTCCTGGACGAACCAAGCCTCTGTTGGCCGAAAACGGAGGACCGAATCACTGTAGCTGAGACCGAGCCTCGGTCTCTGTTGCTTCTCACTCTCTGTTCGCCTTCCGCCTCTCTGTCTCTGTCTCTTCCTCTCCTCTCTGTCTCTACCCGCCTCTCGGTCTCTGCTCTCTCTTCTCTTCTCTCGGTCTCTCTTCTCTTCTCTCGGTTCCCTCTCTCTCCTTTCTCCCCTCTCGGTTCCTACTCTCCCTCTTCTTCCCTCTCGGTTTCTGCCTCCCTCTCTCTCGGTTCAGCATCAGAAGACCGAACCTCGGCCAGAATTCGGAAATTTGTCACTTTTAGCCCATTTTTGATATTTTTAACATTTTAAGCCTGTTTTTCGTGATTTTAAAGCGGGATTTTCTCCAGAAATTATATTTTAACATAATAAACTCTAAATATTCATAATTTAAACATATTTTGATGAAAATCATTATCTAAATAATAAAAATCAAATGGGTGAATTATTAAAGGTGGAGTGTTGACTTTGTCTTATCCAATGTCACAAGCAACCACCCCACACCCACTCTTTGACTAACCACACCTCCCCACCTTACCTAGGTCACTTCAATGTCCCTCACACTCAATTTACACTCATTCCCACGTTTTTAGAGCTGGAACAAACATCCTCTCTCCTCATTTCTCTCATTTGCCCTCATTTCACTAAGTATCAAACACCACTTTTCTCTCAAACTTTTCCCACTCCAATTTCGAGATTCAAGGCTGATTTTCAAGTGTTCTTCCACTCTTAGTAAGTATAATTCATCCTCCTTATGATTATTTCACTTCATTCTACTCAAATCATGAATATCTTACACAAACTCCATCATATTAGCGTTAGAGCTTCGAATCTTCAAGTGATTCTTCAAGTGTTCTTGGGTTGAACACTTCTCTTCTTCAACACTTATCTACTGAAATCACTCAAGGTGAGTTCATACCCCTACATTTTCATGTTTTCTCAACTTTTCAGGGGGGGGGGATACAAGTTAAAACACCAAGAACATAACCAAAATTTTCTAACAGCCTTCATCAGAAAAGTTCAACTCCATTCACGGACTGTTTTGGACAACTTAAACATTTTATTTTTCAAAACTGTACAAGGTTCAAATAGTTCAAGTTCTTAGCTTTAAAATGACTACTTGCACATCTCCATATGATTTTTCTACAATTTATGGTGAATTTTACAAAACTGCCTATCATTTCAAACACCAATCCGGACCAGTCTGTGATTATGGACTTTTTCACCCAAATTTGAGGTCATTAAAAATCTTGATAAAAATTATGAGTAAACTAGACACATTTTTTGAACTCTCAGAATTTACGGATCTAGTTTTCGACTTCATATGATTTTTCTATGATTTTTCTAAAACAGTGCTGAAA